GGACGTTCATTCTCCTATATTCAATTTTCATCTCCCAAACTGCCAATCTGTGTTTCCCTAGATACACTATTTTTTTTTTTTTTTTTTTAATTCAGGCTCTCCCTCTGTTGTCCAGGCTGGAGTGCAGCAGCACAGTGACGTCTCGCTGCAACCTCGATTTCCTGGGCTCAAAGGATCCTCCCACCTCAGCCTCCTAAGCAGCTGGAAGTACAGGCACACGCCACCACATCCGCTAATTTTTTATTTTTAGTAGCGGTGAGGTCTTGCTGTGTTAATAGGGCTGGTCTCGAATTCCTGGCCTCAGGCAGTCTTCCTACCTCCACCTTCCAAAGTGTTGCTATTACAGACGTGAGCGCCCAGGCAACACTCTTTTACAGTCCATTCTTCTCATCTCTTACACCTGCAGTCTGTCCTACCCACTTCTTACTTTAAGCTGATGAACTTGTTTTTTTAATATATATCTCATTAAGAAAGGAGAATCAGTTGGCCGGGCGCGGTGGCTCAGGCCTGTAATCCCAGCACTTTGGGAGGCTGAGGCGGGCGGATCACGAGGTCAGCAGATCGAGACCATCCTGGCTAACACGGGGAAACCCCGTCTCTACTAAAAATACAAAAAAAATTAGCCGGTCGTGGTGGCGGGCGCCTATAGTCTCAGCTATTCCACAGGTTCAGGCCGAAGAATCGCTTGAACCCGAGAAGCGGAGCTTGCAGTGAGCCGAGATTGCACCACTGCCCTTCAGCCAGGGCGACTGAGCGAGACTCAGTCTCAAAAAAAAGCAGTCAAAGGAGAACCTCACCTGTCCCCCTTAACGTTTCTTTCAGCCCCACAACCCCACAGGTGCCCATACACTCTGGCTTCACTGTTAAAATGATGAACTGTCCCTGTTCCTATTTAAGAGGTCCTCCACTCCACCACTAGATTGCATTCTTTCTCCTGTATTCACTGACTTCCTTCCAGCCTCATCCTTTCTTTCATACATCGTCAGATTTTCCTTCTGCTGGATCATTTTCACCAGCACAAGTGTGCTATTAATATCACCCATCTTTTTAAAAGGTGGGCAGGTGGGGGGAGTGTTGTTGGGAGGCCGGGTGGCTCACTCCCAGCACTTTGGAAGGCCAAGGTGGGAAGATCGCTTGAGGCCAGGAGTTTGAGACTGGCCTGGGCAACATAGTGAAACACCATTTCTACAAAAATAGAAAGTAAAAAAATCAGCCCTGGTGGTTGTGCACGCCTGTAGTCCTAGCTACTCTAGAGGCTGAGGAAGGAGGGTTTGTTTCAATCTAGGAGTTTGGGGCGGCAGTGAGCTATGATCATGACACTATACTGCAGCCTGGGTGACAAGAGTCAGACCCTGTCTTAAAAAAAGTCATTTGGGCCGGGCACTGTGGCTCACGCCTGTAATCCCAACACTTTGGGAGGCCAAGGTAGGTGGATCACTTGAGGTCCAGAGTTCAAGACCAGCCTGGCCAACATGGTGAAACCCTGTCTCTACTAAAACTACAAAAAGTAGCTGAGCACAGTGGTTCACACCTGTAATCCCAGCTACTTGGGAGGCTGAAGCAGGAGAATCGCTTGAACCCGGGAGGCAGAGGTTGCGGTAAACTGAGATTATGCCACTGCACTCCAGCCTGGGCGACAGAACGAGACTCCATCTCAAAAAAGAAAAAAAGAGTCATTTGATCCCACATTCCTCTCCAGCTTCTGCTGCATTTCTCTGCACTCTTTATAGGAAAACTTCTCAAAGAAGTTACCTGTAATTGGCTGGGCACAGTGGCTTACGCCTGTAATGCCAGCACTTTGGGAGGCTGAAGTGGGTGGATCACCTGAGGTCAGGAGATCGAGACCAGCCTGGCCAACATGGTGAAACGCTGTCTCTACTAAAAATTCAAAATTTAGCCCGGCGTTGTGGCGAGTGTCTGTAATCCCAGCTACTCAGGAGGCTTAGGCAGGAGAATCACTTGAACCCAGGAGGTGGAGGTTGCAGTGAGCCAAGATCGTGCCACTGCCCTCCAGCCTAGGTGACAGAGTACGACTCAGTCTCAAAAACAAAAGAAGGTACCTGTACTTTATGTGCTTTTTTGACCCCTTAACTCTTGAACACACTACATTCTTTTAGCAGATACTTACTCCATGCCTGTTTCGTGCCAAGTACCATTGTAGCTTAGAACACACAAAAATCCCTGTCTTTGTAGAACTTACACTTTAGTGTGGAGAGAAATAATAAAATAATAAGCAAATTATATAGGTTGTACAGCACCTGCTTAAGTCTGGTTCCTTCATCAGTGTACTAGATCCTATCCTTTGTAGTAGATTCCATTTTTGTCTGCTGCAGGATGTACTCTTGGCAGTTGTCCCTTCTCCTGCATCATCAGTTTTTCTTTAATCATTCCCATCAGCATATAAACATGCTGGTATTTCTCCCATCTTCAACTTTCTTAATTTCCACCTCTAACCATTCCTCATTTTTCTGTTCCCCTTATAGCAATATTTGTTAAAACAGTTATTGGTTAAATCTGTACTCATCTCAGATTCCTGCTTCTCAAGAATCATCATTGACCGCCATTTTGTTAACTTCAGCGGTCAGTTGTCAGTCTTGATTTTACTTGAAAAATTTTGCAGTTTTCTCCAACAGCACTGAGCCATAGTAAAGAAATTAACTTACAGGTTTGGTCTAAAGTTAAAAATTAACATAATAGGCCAGGCACAGTGGCTCATGCCTGTAATCCCAGCACTTTGGGAGGCTGAGGCGGGCAGATCACCTGCGGTTGGGAGATCCAGACCAGCCTGACCAACATGGAGAAACCCCATCTCTACTAAAAATACAAAATTAGCCAGGCGTGGTGGCGCATGCCTGTAATCCCAGCTACTCAGGAGGCTGAGGCAGGAGAATCACTTGAACCTGGGAGGCGGAGGTTGCAGTGGCCAGGATTGTGCCATTGCACTCCAGCCTGGGCAACAAGAGCGAAGCTCCGTCTCCAAAAAAAAAAAAAAACAGTTAACAGATGCAGCAGAAATACAGTCATAAAAGAAATTCAAGGAAACAATTACAGGCTTGTTGGGAAGGAAATGAGACCAGAAAGAGTAAAATAACTTTTGAGAAAACAGATCACAGAATTCAAGAGCTCAGTGAGGCTGAAGTGGAAATGCTATGGCAGTGAGGTTTTGAATTACCAGTAAGGATGATCTGAGAGTATATTTGAGCTTAAGATTTCAGAAAAGGTACAAGTAAAATCTGTGATCTTGCTGTAGAAGCAAATGGCAGAATGAACTGGAGGTGAAAGTTTTTAGAGTTGCAGGACCCATGGTCACCCACATAAATGTTTATTTGTCCTAAATGATTGCAGGACCTTGTGAAGAACACTGTGTACCGGTCACTGTAGTCCACAAATAAGTGGGGAGGAATTGGCTGAATGAGACAGCCACGTGCCAATAGCAGGCGAGTTGCAGGGTAATAGAGCCCTGAGTTTTGAGCTTCAGACAGAGGATGTTTTTTTGTTTGTTTTCTCTACATTAGGTAGAGAAACAGTGATTGTGAAGCTGAAACTCCATGAGGTCAGGGACTGGTGCTGTCTTGCTCACCCCTCATTCCATGTCTACTACAGTGCTCTCTGTACATAGTAGGTGCTCAGTAAATTCTTTTCATTGAATGAATTAGCACTCTACAGAGTCCTGTAGGAGAGGTAATGACTTGAGGAGGAGACTAGCTTTAGCAATAAACAGAAGTAGAGGGAGCATGCTGAGAAATGGTTGAAGATGTAGAGGAGGCTGCTTCAGTAGAAGATAGTGATTCTTGGTATTTCAGAAAAGTTAATATGCTTAGTGTCTAAGCACAATTGTGAAGGCCTTTTTGGCACTGCAACTATTTTAATTAAATTATTAATATATAGGATGACCTGAGTAAAAGTACTGCTTGATTTTAAAAGTGCTCCCCTTAATCTGTTTTGTTACCAGAAAAAAAAAGTGAACAAGAATTAAAAGATGAAGAAATGGATTTATTTACAAAATATTACTCCGAATGGAAAGGAGGTAGAAAAAACACAAATGAATTCTATAAGACCATTCCCCGGTTTTATTATAGGGTAAGTAGTGTCTAATCAAATGTCCTGCAGAGTTTAAAAATGAAATACAATTTTTGGCAAGGCAAGATGGCTCATACCTATAATCCCAACACTTTGGGAGGCTGAGGCGGGAGGATCGCTTGAGTCTGGGAATTTGAGACCAGCCAGAGCAACATAGCAAGCCCCCATCTCTAAAAAAAAATTTTTTTTGAAATAGCTGGACATAGTGATGCATGCCTATAGTCCTAGCTTCTCAGGAGGCTGAAGCAGGAGGATCACTTGAGCCCAGGAGGTCGAGGCAGCAGTGAGCCGTGATTGTGTCACTGCACTCCAGCCTGGGCAACAGAGTTAGACCCTGTCCTCCCACCCCCAGAAAAAAGTAATTTTAAAAATAGGACCAGAATTTTATGTTTTAAGAATAGAGGATTATATTTTAAATTTTGTATATTTATTATTTTATTGTAATCTTATCACTATTATAAAACATTTTGAGCCCAATAAAACCCCAAGTTTAGATTTAAGTGGGTATGTAAACACAAAGTTGTTAAACTGTCGGCTTTTTCTTTCTAATTTTTATTATAGATATTAGTAGTAAGTATTCTATTGGATTGTGTTATCAGGTATACAACGCTTTGTTACAAAGTTTTAAAATTTTGCTCAAGGCTAAACCAAAAAATCGATTGAAAATGGAAAACTTAAAGAATTTCACTTGAGGCCAGGCATGGTGGCTCATGCCTGTAATCCCAGCACTTTGAGAGGCCAAGGTGGGTGGATCACAAGGTAAGGAGTTCAAGACCAGCCTGACCAATATGGTGAAACCCAGTCTCTACTGAAAATACAGAAATTAGCCAGGAGTGGTGATGTGCACCTGTGATCCCAACTACTCAGGAGGCTGAGGCAGGATAATCTCTTGAACCTGAGAGGTGGAGGTTGCAGTGAGCTGAGATCACGCCACTGCACTCCAGCCTGGGTGACAGAGCAAGACTCCATCTCAAACAAACGAACAAACAAAAAGGAATTTCACTTGACTATTTCTTTCCCTGTGCCAAACTCTGAAAATGGCTTGAAGGGACATATAGACAAAATAGACCTTAAGAAAAGCTATTTACGATAGGGTCACTGCACTCCAGCCTGGGTGATAGAGCAAAGACCCTGTCTCAAAAAAAAAAAGGTTGGCCAGGAGCAGTGACTCACACCTATAACCCTACCACTTTGGGAGGCCATCAAATCAGGAGGATCACTTGAGGCCAGGAGTTTGAGAACCAGTCTGGGCAACTTGGTGAGATCTTGTCTCTCCAAAAAAACTTAGCCAGGCATGATGGTGACACCTGTAGTCCCCGCTACTCAGGAGGCTGAGGTGGAAGGATCACTTGAGCTCAGGAGGTTGAGGCTGTAGTGAGCTGTGATCATGCCACTGCATTCCAGCCTGGGTAGCAGAGCAAGAGCCTATCTCAAAAAAAAAGAAAAAAGAAAAAAAGCTGTTTACAACCTGGGTATGGTAGGGCATTCAACTGTAGTCCCAGCTACTCTGAGAGGGTGAGGAAGGGAGAATCTCTTAAGCTCAGGAGTTTGAGACCGGCCTGGACAACGTAGTGAGACCACCCCACACCCCATCTTTTTTTTTTTGAGACGGAGTCTCGCTGTTGCCCAGGCTGGAGTGCAACGGCCTGATCTCAGCTCACTGCAACCTCTGTCTCCCAGGTTCAAGCGATTCTCCTGCCTCAGCCCTCCCAAGTAGCTCGGATTATAGGTGTGTGCCACCACACCCAGCTAGTTTTTGTATTTTTAGTAGAGACGGGGTTTCGCCATGTTGGCCAGGCTGGTCTCGAACTCCTGATCTCAGGTGATCTACCTGCCTCGGCCTCCCAAAGTGCAGGGATTACAGGTGTGAGCCACCATGCCAGGCCCACCCCATCTTTTTTTTTTATTTTATTTATTTATTTTTTTAAAAAAGAAAGCTATTTATACCTGAAAGTGAGGTCTACCAAAAAATATATATTTAGTATTATGGAAAATGTAACCACTATACAAGTTAACTGGAATCTTAGCTGGATGTCCCTTGAACCTGTTACCTTCTAACTCTATTAATTATAACATTATTTGCAAATATAGTAAACATTTATTTAGGTAGTGTTCTTACAGGTTAAGGTATTTATATAAGTGAGTTATCCAGATACTGAAATATTTCTTCAAGTGCAAATTTTTTTCACTGAACATTTATATATACTTCTCAACCTTTTAAGAATCATATGCCAGTAATGCTAGCCCATATTTGTTTTGTTTCATTTAATTTAATTTAATAGAGCTAAATAATTAAACATGAGGCCAAAGTACATAAGAAAGTGGCAGTCTTTTATTGCAAATATGCGCACACTCTTGGGCGAGGTTCTCTGGTCCTCAGGTGTTGGGGGGCCAGGGAAGTCGCGCCGGTGCTCTCAGGTGAGGTTCTCTGGCCCACGAATGCAGGGGTCGAAGAACTCACACCGGCTCCTGCCGGCAGCGGACTTTTATGCATTGGTACTGGAAGGGGGAGGGCAGTGGGCAGGATAAGGGCATGATAGGGGCGTCTCCGTAGGCGTGGCCGGGTAAGTTTCGATCTCTTTGGATTGACATCACCTGGCGCATGCTCGGTTGATCTACATCTTCCCTGGCGCTGGCTGCATTTTCCCGCACGCTGGAAAGTTGGTGAGGAAGAACCCGGAAGCAACATGGATTGTGCCTTCTTGTTCACCTTCCTCCATCTTGTCCTTTCTCCCTCACCCAAACAATATTTATTGTAGAAAAGGAAAAAAATATGGCTAAACAAGTTGATCTCTTCCCATAACAACATCACCCAACAATGTAAACAGAACATTTTATATGAATCCTTCTACATATTTTTGTGGGTATCTGTGTATTTTTTAAAATGGGGTTACATCATACATACCTTTACTGCTTTTTGCATTTCACACTTTTCTTAAACAGGGGCAGCTAGATAACTGAATATTTTTGATAACCTAGGGGAGAGAGAAGGGAATTGACATTTATTGATTGTCTAAGCACTGCAGAGTGAAGGGGTGGCCTGCCCCTCCACACCTGTGGGCGTTTCCCTCATCAGGTAGAACAAGAGACTTAAGAAAAGAAAGACACAGAGACAAAGTATAGAGAAAGGAAAGTGGGCCCAGGGGACCAGCGCTCAGCATACAGAGGACCCAGGCCGCCACCCTGGCCTCTGAGTTCCCTCAGTATTTTTTTGATCATTATCTTCACCATCTCGGAGAGGGGAAGTGGCAGGACCATAGGGTCATAGTAGGAAGAAGGTCAGCAAGGAGACATATGAATAAAGATCTCTGTGTCATGAATAAGTTTAAGGAAAAGTGCTGTGCTTTGATGTGCATATGCAAACATCTCCATAAACATTTTCAGGGCATTAAGAGTAGCATTGCCACTAGCACGTACCACCTCCAGCCCTAAGGTGGTTTTCTCCTACCTCAGTAAATAGAACATACAATCAGGTTTTACACCGAGACATTCCATTGCCCAGAGACGGGCAGGAGACCTTTTACTAATCCTCCTCAGCACAGACCCTTCAGGTCTTTCCCTTTCCACAAGGCCATATTTCAGACTATCACATGGGGAGAAACCTTGGACAATACATAGCTTTCCTAGGCAGAGGTCCCTGCGGCTTTCTGCAGTGTTTGTGTTCCCGAGATTAGAGAATGCTGATGACTTTTAACAAGTATACTGCCTTTAGGCACTTAACAAAGCACATCCTGCATAACCCCAAATCCATTAAACCTTGAGTAGACACAGCACATGTCTCTGCAAGGACAGGTTTGGGGGTAGGGTTACAGATTAACAATATCTCAAGGCAGAAGAATTTTTCTTAGTACAGAACAAAATGGAGTCTCTTATGTCTACTTCTTTCTACGTAGACACAGTAACAGTCTGATCTCTCTTTTTCTCATACAGAGCCTTTTGTATTATCTCATTTAACCTAGATTCTTAAATAAGATCTTACTGTTATCGAACACAAGTTCTTGGGTTCTCAACGCAAAAGGGAGAGAGAGCACCTGACTCTCTGAAAAGAGCTGGTAGGGTTTTTTTTTTAAATCAGGGATTGATATTAGGGTGGGGTATGCAGGCTGGGCTGGGCAAAGCAGATCAGGTAGGGTATGCAGGTGTGCATTATCTGGTTGCTATGGTTATCTTGAGCAGTGGGCCACCTGGTCTGGCTAGAGGCAACAAGGCTGTAAATCAGTTGTTCAGCGTTCCTTCCCTAGATAGGACACCCACTCCACAACTCTGGTTATCTCCTAAGGCTAGTTACTGGAATTCTTTTGAGTAAAAGGCATGGTTCAGACATTGTGGTATCAGTGAGGTGATGGCGTGGGTTTTGTGATGAGTGGAAATGCATGAAAAAGTGCCGTAGTGGGAGTGAGCTGACCCAAGCCCCCTTTCCTACTCTGTGTCATTCCTAACAGCTCTTGGATAGGAATGGTGTGATCCCATTCCTGAGGCCAGGACTGAACTTTCTTGTACTTCCAGGACCAAACCTTCGCCTTCTTTTTCTGGTTTCTGAGGGAATCTCCTTTTTTCCCTGTCTTCGTGTCACTTCTCTCTTGGGCCACCTCTAGATCTTAGATGGTTTCCTGTCTGCAGCTATGGATTTG